TGCTTCTTTTAGTGTAAATGGTTTTTAGATATGTGTCTAGTCATCTTAATTGAAAGAGTTACTCCATTACAAGACCCGTATCTACAAAGATTGTCTTCTATTTTCATCTATTAAAACTCTACGTCTTTCTCTCTTTTTTTTCATCTTCTAATTCTATCTCCCCTAAACACATCGCTTCATCTTTCTATCATCTCTGAAATTTAAGATATGGATTCTCCGAATCCATATAGTCAGCCTGCCAACTTTGTTGATCTCTTAAACAGTCAACAAGATAGTGTCCATGAAACCTTTCCTTATGTTCATATCTCAAACAGTCAACAAGATAATGTTCCTCTATTTAGTACTCAAGCAACTGAAACCTCTAGCTTCTGTGAAGACTCAGCCACAGAACGCAAAGGAAGAAAGAATTGGAGTGTCTCGGATGATATAGTGCTCATTAGTGCTTGGTTAAACACAAGCAAGGACCCTGTTGTAGGGAATGAGCAGAAGGGAGGTACTTTCTGGTCACGCATTGCTGCATATTATACAGCTAGTCCAAAGGTGAGCAGTGGTGACTCTATAGAGCCAATTCAGTGTAAGCAGAGGTGGCAGAAACTTAACGATCAGGTTTGTAAGTTTTGTGGATGCTATGAGGCTGCAAGGAGACGGCTAGGAAGTGGCCATAATGAGTCTGATGTTGTTTCACTAGCACACGAATTTTACTCTAACGATTATAATAAGAAGACGTTTAACCTCAATCATGCTTGGGAGGAGCTAAGACATGACCAGAAATGGTGTGAATTAGCAGCTACCAAGATAAGTGGAACCGGTAAGAAGAGAAAGACTGAAGATGGAGCACAATCTTCAAGCTCTCAAGCGGCTACGAATTTAGGTGACCAACCAACAAAACGTCCTCCTGGGGTTAAGGCTTCGAAAGCAGGAGCTGGTAAGAAAAGTGTCGAAGATCAACAGGCTCTCTCTCGGTTTGAGACCATGTGGTCAATCAAAGAGAAAGAGCTGGTCATTAAAGAAAAAGTTTCGAAGATAGGACTGCTTGAGAGTCTCGTAAAAAAAGGACCCTTATCTGAAGTTGAAGAAGCTCTAAAGAGGAAGTTAATGCTAGAGATGCTTTAGTTTAAAAATGGTTAAGTGAAATGCCCTGTTTTTAGTTTATCCAGTTTCTATGTTGCGGTTTCAAAGTTGTTGTTTAAATGTTCTTGTTTCAGTGTTCTTGTTTAAATGTTCTTGTTTCAATGTTCTTGTTTCAATGTTCTTGTTTTAATGTTCTTGTTTCAATGTGAAAGTTTCAGTGTTTTTGTTTCAATGTTCTTGTTTCAGTGTGAAAGTTTCAATGTGATGTTAATGCTAGTTTTTCTGTTCTTGTTTCCGTGTGCAGATAGACAAAGACATGAGAGGTCACGAGTATGCAAAGGACAAGAAGTCACTGGTATGCAAAGGACAAGAAGTCACTGGTATGCAAAGGTGAAGAGGTCACGGGTATGCAAAGGACAAGAAGTCAGAAGTCACGAGTTGCAATTTTCTTTTACTTTTCTTTGTATGTTTTGTCATGAGTAAGCTAATTTTCTTTTTATGTTTGTCACGGGTATGTACTTTTCTGCAAGTCACAGATCTTTTCTTGTGTATGTTTGTCATGGTCACGGAAGTCACAAAACCTTTCTATATAATAAAGCTTAATTCTTTCATTATCTCCACACAAGCTCCATACAAAGTTATCGAAAACATTCTTCAAAGTTTCATTCTCTCATGTTCACACATTCTACAAAGCTTACGTCTCTTCTACAAACACTCAAGAAAAACACTCACTCTCTCATTTTCACAGAAGAATCAACACTCACTCTCTCATTTTCACAGAAGAATCAAAACACAATTTCTACATTTTTATCACATATATGGCATCTTCTTCTCATAACACGTTCGAGGAAGTAGATGATCAAACTTTTGATCAATATTTTGATCAACAATTTGATCAATTTTATGATCAACAATTTGATCAAACATTGGAGAGTCTTTCCAGTAATTATGATCAAGAAGCTGCAAAGAAAAAAAGGAAAAAACGAATTTACATCGAAAGACAACGTGAAGAAGGCAATGCTCGGTTATGGAATGATTATTTCAGTGAAACCCCTACATATTCCGAAAATCTATTCCGACGACGATTCAGAATGAAGAAGCCATTGTTCATGCGTATTGTTGATCGACTCTCCAATGAAATTGAATATTTTCGGCAAAAGAGAGATGCTCTTGGACGGATTAGTCTCTCTCCACTTCAGAAGTGTACAGCAGCCATCCGTGTCTTGGCATATGGTTCCGCGGCTGATGCTGTTGATGAGTACGTCCGACTCGCTGCATCCACTACTCGGTCATGTGTGGAACATTTCGTGGAAGGAATAATATATTTATTCGGCGATGAGTACCTTCGAAGACCAACACCCGCTGATCTTCAACGTCTGCTTGATATTGGTGAGCATCGTGGATTTCCCGGGATGATAGGAAGCATCGACTGTATGCATTGGGAGTGGAAGAATTGTCCCACCGCTTGGAAAGGTCAATATTCACGTGGTTCGGGAAAACCCACAATAGTTTTAGAGGCGGTTGCTTCTTATGATCTATGGATATGGCATGCATTTTTTGGACCTCCAGGTACCTTAAATGATATAAATGTTCTTGATCGCTCACCTGTTTTTGATGATATAATACATGGTGAAGCTCCGCAAGTCACTTTCTCTGTCAATGGAAGAGAGTATCATTTGGCTTACTATCTCACCGACGGTATTTATCCGAAATGGGCAACTTTTATCCAATCTATTCCAGTTCCACAAGTGCCGAAAGCAAGATTATTTGCTCAACATCAAGAAGCTGTTCGAAAAGATGTCGAGCGTGCTTTTGGAGTCTTGCAAGCTCGTTTTGCCATTGTTAGAAACCCGGCACTATTTTGGGATAAGGGAAAAATTGGCAAGATTATGAGAGCATGTATCATACTCCATAATATGATAGTAGAAGACGAACGAGATGGATACACTCAGTATGATGTTTCTGGGTTCCAACAAGGAGAAGACACCGGAAGTTCACATGTCGATCTTGATTATTCTACAGATATGCCCACAAATATCGCCAATTTGTTGAGAATGCGAACTACAATCCGTGATAAAAAAATGCATCAACAATTAAAAGCTGATTTGGTTGAACATGTATGGAGGAAATTTGGACGTGATGGAAACAACTAATGACCTCAAATGCTTCTCAAAATAATAATGTTTATTGTACTAATATTTCTTTTTAAAAAAATAAAATCTGTATGTTTAAATGTTATCTTGTAATGTATTTTATTTAATAATAAATTTTATTTTAGGTTTTTTTTTTTTTAAAAATCTTTGTTAAGAAACTTCCATTGCACCGCTCAAAAACGAAAGTTTCTTAACAAAAATCCTTAACTCACTAAAGTACAATTATAATATTAAATAATCATTAAGAAACTTGATTAAGGATCAAGGGTTGTTCATGCTCTAANATCTTGTAATGTATTTTATTTAATAATAAATTTTATTTTAGGTTTTTTTTTTTTTAAAAATCTTTGTTAAGAAACTTCCATTGCACCGCTCAAAAACGAAAGTTTCTTAACAAAAATCCTTAACTCACTAAAGTACAATTATAATATTAAATAATCATTAAGAAACTTGATTAAGGATCAAGGGTTGTTCATGCTCTAAATCTAATATATAATTATTTGTTCCGCATATTTTATTTATAAATTATAGTTCCAAAGACGAGCTTGTCAGTGTCCACACTTGCCAACTGCTTGATTGCATCAACTTTCTACATCCCTTCAATGCTCTCTTCACACTACTTTCTCTTTTCTTTTTTTTTCTTTTTTTCAATCAACACCCTTTCCTTTTTTTTTTGTTTAAATCAACACCCTTTCCTTGCTTTCTTATATCAATACAATTTATATAAGTATAGTCTATATATATAGATATAGATATATATTTATATATATATATATATGTACCTATCTATTCATCCTGTCAAATTTTAGGAAAAACACATTGAATACTACCAGATGAACGGGATATCATACTGATTAATCCGAATTTGAAAATTTTCCGACTAATACCTATCGCCAATTGTTAACCATCTGGGACAAATCTCAAATTCAATTCATATTTATTGGCCAAACAACGATAATTTTGTTCATAGAAGAAATCGAATTCAAGACACATATGAGACACATTAAACCCTAACTGTTTACTTGGTTATAACTTATAAGTATAGTCTTTTTTTTTACCAAGGGCTTTCACAAGTATTAGCACGTATTTGAGCTGAATCAGATTAAGTAAATTAGTAATGGAATGACGCTCCTAAAATTTTATTAAGGAAAATTAGTCCAACAGCCTTAAAATAATCGAGGATTAACAAACCTACGCCATAACTATGTTATCAACTATCAACCGTATTATCTTTAAACTGTCGAATTCAGGATTTTGCTGCTTGAGAAGATAGAGACCACAAGATTTACTCAATTTATCGGTATTAAATTCTCAAAAGTCAATAAAATACCATACCTAATCACATGCCTGGATATTATTGTGCGATATTACATATCCAACCTACTGTGACTGATCTGAAACTTCGTCGGACGCTTATCGATTTGTACATACCAATGTCGACTTATTTGACACTTGCAATGAACATCCCAAGTCAAGAAAACTCCACAGATTTGACCCTTTCCCCAATTTTTGATTGAAATGTATTTACTGTTACTTTTTTGTCTTTTAGACAATGTGTTCACACTTTATTTTCTTGTACCTATCCATATCATTCATTTTTCTTTCGTAAGCTCAAGTATCTCTCTCGCGCCACATAAACTCAAAGCCACGTAGACATCATTATTGCTTTACACACTTGACGTGTGTTAAGTAAGCGTATTCCAATATGGCAATGTAGTATATAATTCACATCTCTCTACTCACCTCGAGGGCTTGAGTAGCTGGGGAAAGACCACCATTTATTACTCGTCTCTCTTTTTCTCTCTTCTCTTTAACAAAGTGAGACACAATGGAACACGAGCGCAAGAACAATCTGAATGGGATGGAGATGGAAAAGGGAAAGAAGGAAAGTGGTTCGAGAAAAGGGCTTGAATTAACGATGAGAGTGTTGGCTTTGGTTCTAACACTAGCGGCTGCAACAGTACTTGGTGTCGCAAAACAGACAAAGGTTGTGTCTATAACGCTTATTCCAACCTTGCCTCCTCTTGATGTGTCCACAACAGCCAAAGCCTCTTACTTGTCTGCCTTTGTGTAAGCATCTCTCTTTCTTTCTCTTTTCCACACTATTTTTGTTGTATTAAAGATATATCCTTCCTACATACCAAACCAAGAAAGAGTGTCAGGGTTTTTCCACTTGAAGTTTTTAAATGAAATTTTCACTATAAAAAAAAATAACAGAGAAAAGTGAGAAATAAATTCTTATCTGAGAAATTTTCAGAAATTCATGAGTGATTTTTTTTTTGAGACAATGAGCGGTTGCATTTCCTTTTAGATATAAATTATAGGAATAAATTAAAATTTAATAAGAGTATTTTTTTGTTTAGAATTTTCTTTTCTATATCTCGCTATTAAAAGTGCTCTCATATATTTATACGACCTTGATTGTAATAAAAAGGATTTTGCATGCGTTCCATGTAATTTATAATATATGTTGACAACAAATTATGTTCAGGAAATCATGTTTGTAAAATTTGTAACATATGTTGACAAAAATATAGTTTTCTAATTATAAAATAGTATTTCAAAATGTAAAATGTTATCAGAAAATCACATTTGATGATATATAAAAACATGTTTTTTATTCGTTCTCTTATATCTTGCACTTTTATTAACTTCAAATTACAAAATCCTCCTGACGAGCATGGGAAATACACTAGTTCATACAAACTTATAATTAAAGATGGAATTATTTGCGTCTTAGTTTTTACTAACAAATAGACTATATTTTATAATTTAATTTGCAAGAAAAAATACAGTTCAGAATGTAGTGGATTATATGATATATATATACTATTAAAATATAATCTCTATTAGAATTTTGTGTCTCGCCAAGGAGGCGAGATGCAGTGGTACTCTCTTTTCCCATATAGATTAGATCCAGGCGGACGGAGCGTCTTTTCGGAACGATTCAGGCCCGACTAACAATTGATCTTAAACAATGGGCGTCGACAAAAAAAATTAGAATTTTTCCCTTTGGTTTTAAGTTAATTACAATAGCATGCCACTGATATTTAGTTTTGCTAATAATATTATTAATTTAAATTAAACAACTGATTATTCTCTATATTTATGGTAACTAATAATTTTCCATATTTTTATGAATGATTATAATTCTAAGTTTTATGAAAAGTATACTCTCCATTAATTTTAATATTATTTTTCATGCATAGTATTATTTAACAATTGAATATGAGTATATATATGAAAATAAAATAAAATTATTTACGATGCTATTTATCTATAATATTGATACCTATTCAAATGCCAAATTTTTATAAATTAAAATTTAGATCTAAAATAAATAAAAATGAAAAATTATCATATGTTATTAATAACAAAAAGAAATCAATATTACCATATCAATAAATTTTGTTTTTTCTGTTACCATTTTCTTTGAGTGACATAATAAAAATTTCTTCTAAATCTAAGAAATTAAAGTTTTTCAATTTTTAAAATATGCTTTTTTAATCAAAAAAATACATTTAAAATTGGGTTTTAGCAGATAATCAATATTGTATTGTGGATCAGTAGCAAGTTTTTTTTACCAGGTTTTATCAAATTTTTAATTAATGTTTTGTTCATTAAATCAGAACCGAATTATACATGGTTAATCAACTCAACTATGGGTCTTGGTTGAATATTACCTAAAAATAAAAATTATAATATAACATTTTTGAAATACTAATACAACAACTTTTAAATTATTTGTTTTCAAATAGAAATTTAATTATGTTTTATCAAAATGGTAAAAATGACGTTTTTAAAGTGTGGATCGAAATCTAGTATATATATATTAAACTAAAACGTAAATAAGGAATGTGATATCTGTGAACGTTAGATTTAGGGCTAAAAATGTTTTTTTTCTATGTCATCGAAATAGCAAAAGTGAGTACCGGAATAAAAAAAAAATTCTTGTTTGCATTTATAGTTTCCTGTAATTGATAAGATTATAACTATTAAATTTTAAAATTCACATTACCAATTAACTAGTAAACACATACTCCCTTTGTTTTGTTATTATAAGTAGTTTTAGAAAAATATTTTTGTTCCAAAATATAAGTAGTTTACAAATATCTAAGTAATTTTTAGATTTATTGAATGTGTTGTATCCAATTAAATAATACTAATGTATTTATGATTGGTTTACTTATACCTAATTCAATATATCGATTGTTACTTTAAAAATAATAACAATTTTATATTTTGTTTAATCGCCATTTATGAGTGATTTGACCTTTTCTAATGTGTTTATGCGTCTGTGTATACGTGCATAGACAAAGAATGGTTTTTTTTTACTAAAGACAAAGAATGGTATTGTGACCCCATAAAAATCAGAATAGTATAAAAATATCGACCAATCGACTAGTATACAGTAAATCGGTAGTTAATTAACCCCATCATAAATGTCCAACCATCAAAAGGTTTCACAACAAAAGTGGACCATAGCAAATCTTAAAAGTGTACTCTCCACTAATTTTAATATTATTTCTCATGCATAATATTATTTAACGATTGAATATGAGTATATATATGAAAATAAAATAAAAAATTATTTACGATGCTATTTGTGGTTAAAGATACTCTAACAATTCTAGCTGGCATGACCAGCAATAAATATACAATTTTAATATAAAAACTAGACAAATTATAGGTTGGCTATTACAAATGTTTTATTACTTTTCAATCGACTCTTGTATAGCAAATGAATAGATCACACAAATAATTCATAAAATTTAGAAATTAAGGAATACTTCTTTTGTTTCATAATATAGTTATCTTATATATTAAAACAGAAGTCATGACTTGATTTCATGTGTGATTTTTTAAAAAATGGACTATTACTAGAAAGTTATGTTACATTAACTCTCTAATAATATTATCATTATTATATCTTATAATATGCTTAACAATTTTGTTTTGGTAAATTATCCCACACCTTCCAACTTAGTCACGCAAAATATGTCAATAGATATAAATTTNACACATGTTTGAAAGTCATGTATAATATAGAAAATTTGAAACAATCTATTTGATTAAAACATTTATTATATAATATTATTATGCTTGAAAAAAATTTACTATACATATCCTAAATATGTGATTACTATAATATATACCAATTTACAAGTGAAAACAAAATGTTTATATAACTATAAACAAAAACAAACACCCGCGCGGTCGCGCGGGTCAAAATCTAGTTTTAGTTAAAACACACAAAAACTGAGAGACGTTCTTTTTCACACAGAAAATACCATCTAGCGTATAACACTCAACCAATCTAATAAAAAAATAAATATACAACTTATACAATATCTAATAAATACAAAAGCTGCATATAAATATAAAAGTTGGATATAAAAGTGAAAAAAATATAACTTCAACTAAATATACTCTTAAATAATTTATTTTATACGATAGAGGGAGTATATAATTACACAAACGTTGTAGGTTCAACCTGTCGGCAAACGCTATAGCTTGCGGTTACACAGCGATCTCAATAGCCATTCTGATAGTCAACAAAGGAAGAAGAAGCAAAGGCTTGACAATGGCGATGTTGATAGCTGATCTAGTGATGATGGCTTTGCTATTTTCCGGCACCGGAGCCGCCGGAGCAATAGGATTGATGGGTGTACAAGGTAACAAGCATGTGATGTGGAAGAAAGTGTGTAACGTTTTTGGAAAATTCTGTCACCAAACTGCTGCTTCAGTTGCAATCACTCTTTTTGCTGCAATCGTATTTATGGTTCTTGTTGTTCTCGATGTTATGAAGCTTACTTAATGCAATTGATTATCTGTTTCGTCTACAGCTCTTCTGCGTCTTGTTGTGTCGTGTCAAGTCATTATCAACCAATCATGTAACTGTCTATTTGCTTATTACTGCTTTTCATGAAATAGTTTTCTACGGTGAGCATTTATTCAAATTTCGGAAATCAGTTGGTTTCTTCGGTATATATTGATGTAATCAATGAACAGTTTTACAATTAGTTTCAAACATAACACCAAACTTATTAAACATCAAAATTTGTATTTTGTGTTAAATATAGGAGTATTTTTTTTTTTATCTCCAACCACAACGTTAAATTCTACATCAAATCAGTTTTTATTTTTAATAATTTTAAATATATTTTTTATTTGTAATTGACTTGTTTTTATTTTATCACATTTAAATCTTTTGTATATTTATTAAATTTTGCAATTTTATTTTAGTCTTTTTTTATCAAAAAGATTATTTAAAAGTTTAGTTATACATTAAATAATTTTTATGTAAAATATTACGTAAATTTAAATTTTATACTTTTACCAATAGAATAATTTTTTTTTCTAATTTTTTCACATTTAATGTACAGTAGAAACTCTAAAAATTAATACATGTTATTAATAAATACTATCAATTTTTGTATTTGATCAAGGTAAAATATGACACAATTCAATAAAATAATAAGCTAATAAAATTGTGATTTTTTTATGTAAATATATGATCTCAATATAAACATAATTTAATTAAACGTAAAATGAATTTACATTTACTGTACATACATCATATAATCGAATAAAAACAATATAAAGTTTTATCGATACAATTTAATTAATATATATATCACAAAATTAAGTATTCTTCGTATTATAACAAACATGTATATTTTAAATTATAAAAGTCAAATAAGGAAATTTTATATATTAATTACTCAATAATTTGATAAAACATCAAAGTCGTAACACTATTTAATCAAGAAGTTTTTAGTGTGATTAATAATCAAGGAGTTATATTATTAATTATGAATACAAATAAAATAATATTTAATATTTACTAATGCAAAAAAGTTATAATACAAATCAGTGTACTAAATTTGTTTTAATTATAATCAAACAAGTAATAAAGGGGAAATAATGGCCTCAGATAAAGTGTTCACGTTAGATAAAATAATCAACCAATAGAATCGTTGGTTTTCGCCATGTCACCGATGGGATTGGGTATTTTGGGCTTTGATATTTTTATTCTTTTTTGTTCAGTTTTCAGGCCCAATAAGTCGACCCTCCGAAAACGGTAACAAGCCGTCTCTCCCACGATACCTTCTCTGTTTCTTCTCTTCGTTCTTGGACGATTCATCTTCTCAACAGAAACCCGATTCGCCTACATAAAGTGATCCTCTATTAGTTACATATAAGAAGGTATTTCCATTACTAAAAAACTTTAATGGCACCAGAACTATTCCACTGCCGGAGCACGGCAGAGATATGCTGGTCTGCCGCAGACGAACTCAAAAACTCCGTCTTCTTCTCAGCGATTGGTGGAACTGGAATCCGAATTCAGCGCCCACAAGTAAATCCCCTTTCTTTTCTTTTGCTTCTTCAAAGGTTTTGTTTTTTTATCTCCGATTTGGATATTGTCTTCGACGTAATCACATCTCAAATTTCGAACTTTATCTTTTTTTTTTTGTTTACGGGTTTTGCCCATTTTGTCTAAATTCTACTCCTCTAAGTTTACAAAATTACAAATATTGTTTATATTGTTTTTGATTGACATATATAGTATTTCTCGCAGATGTGTATATCATGGTTCAAAGTGAAAGTTATTCTCGTAAGTATACGAAACGACCTTTGATTTTTAATGTTGTTTCTATCTATTTGGAACATACATACCATAGTTTCAGTTCTGTTTTTTTTTTCCTTCTTCTCCAGTTTATTTTCTGGTTCTTTATATGTCCCAAAATGGATTTTGCATACTTGCTTGGTATTTAAGTGAAGCAGAGGCTGAGAGCTTTGTTTTTTTTTCAAAACTTAGTTTATTACTTGATGTACTTTGTAAATTTTATCTTGTGTGTGTCTGTATAGTTACCATCCTGTTTCGGTTGTGTTTTCTTGCAGAAATGGCTCAACCATATGGGACCCTGATGGCAAAACATACATCGACTTTCTTGCTGCTTACTCTGCAGTTAATCAGGTTAACGAAAGCTTCACTCCTCCTCAGCTTCAATTAAACATACAACAATAGGTGGAAAGTTTCTTACGTATTTTATTTTTTGTTGCAGGGACATTGCCACCCTAAGATCATCAAGGCATTGCAGGAACAAGTAGAGACACTCGCTTTAAACTCATTAGCCTTCTATAACGATAAGTTCCCGGTCTTTGCAGTTCGTCTTACAAACATGTTCGGTTACGAGATGGTTCTTCCTATGAACACTGGCGCTGAAGGTGTCGAAACCGCCTTGAAAATTGCAAGAAAATGGGGTCACGAGACAAAAAAAATTCCCAAAGATGAGGTTATACAATATAGAAGTTTTCTTTCATAAGAATCCTTCTTGTTTGCATCAAACATATTGAAAATATTTGGAGAACATGTAATCTTTCTACAGGCTATAATCGTCATTTGTTGTGGTTGCTTTCATGGTCGTATGTTAGCAGTTATCTCTATGAGTTGTGACAATCATGCTACTCGCGGGTTCGGACCATTGTTGCCAGGGAATCTTAAAGTTGATTTTGGTGATGCCAGTTCACTTGAGAAGATCTTTAAAGGTATGAATAAATGATTAAATGGTTTTCTGCATTTGAGATTAATGAGTGGATCATGTTATTGTTATGATCATTGCAGAGAAGGGAGATAAAATAGTTGGATTCCTTTTTGAGCCTATTCAAGGAGAAGCTGGAGTAAGTATCCTTCTTTTTTCTATCAATAATAATCGTTTTAGAGGATGAATCATATTAATGGTTTTGTATTGCTTTGGGGTTAGAGGTTGTGATTCCTCCTGAGGGTTATTTGAAAGCTGTTAGAGAACTCTGTACGAAACACAACGTTTTGATGATAGCTGATGAAGTACAAAGCGGTTTAGCAAGATCTGGAAAGATGTTAGCTTGTGACTGGGAAGATATCCGTTCGGACATGGTGGTATGTTGTAGTAGTTTTCGATATTGCAAAGCAATTATAAAGCTTATCCAAAAGTCATTTGAGTTTGCTTTTTGAAAGATACTTGGGAAAGCATTATGTGGAGGAGTGATTCCAGTAAGTGCAGTGCTTACTGATAAAGGTATGATGCTTCATATCAAACCTGGCCAACACAAAAGGTTTGCATAAGCGTTATATATTTTTCATGGGGGTGTAATGAAAGTTAGCGTTATAAAACTATTGTCTTGCTATTCAAGAATAGTTCTCTCTCATGTTGCTGCATGTTCATTTGTAAGTTGTAACTCTACTGTTTCATAAAAAATTTATGACCATTATTTAGTTATTTGTTTTGTTCCTATTAACGTTGGGAATCTGTTATACTGTTTGTAGCAAGAAACAACAGTAAGCATGTGAATGTTTTTATCCAACCAGCTAAACTTGACATTTGTTAAATTTTTTTTTGTCTTTAATCATTAGAATGGCAACATGAGCATGTCATAATTGAGTAGCAATTTATCTTTTTAGACCATTGAAAATTTATCTTCAATGACTATATTACCATTGTTGGCTTGCAAATATTTTTTGCTTGAAAATTAAATTTTACATTTTGAATTGTAAATTTATTTTATTTTTATAAATTAACATTTTAGTGTAGATCTTATAAAAATTGATTATGGAGGTTTTGATTATATATAGCATAATCTCTACAATAAAAACTGAGGTTTTTAGTGTTGTATGTACATTGTTATAGGTAAAAAAAAATATGAGATATTTTGTGTGGGAACATCCCCTATATATTAATTGAGAAACATTTGAAAAGATGTAACCTCAAGTTTGTAATAATTAAAAAGTAACTTTGCTTAGTTGTCAATCAATTAGCATACCAATTAAACTGACGTGGCAGCTTTAGGTTCAATTGAAATTTGCTAGGGAAAAATAATTAGAGACGCATATAACGCATGTAACATAGTTTATATATATATATCGCACGCATGTAATGGAAGAAAAGGAAAATATACGATTTGATAACGATTTGCATATATTAACTATAATAACTTCATTCCTTTTAATTTATGGAAGTGTATATGTAAAATGGAAATTACTTTGTGACCAAGTACATACTTAATGGTAAAGGCAAGAACGTTTATTATATGAATATATCTTTTGATNAATATACGATTTGATAACGATTTGCATATATTAACTATAATAACTTCATTCCTTTTAATTTATGGAAGTGTATATGTAAAATGGAAATTACTTTGTGACCAAGTACATACTTAATGGTAAAGGCAAGAACGTTTATTATATGAATATATCTTTTGATCATTTTGACAAAACAATGAACGATATAAAGAGGCCCAATCTACTATTTATAAACGTTTATTCAAGATCAAGATGTGTTTATTATAAACGCTTTACTATATGAACGTTTATTATAAATGTTTATTATAATAGCTTATATATAATAATTATTATAAGGCAAGAACGTTTATTATATGAATATATCTTTTGATCATTTTGATCAATAGTTTAACATTTTTATTATAAAAAGATACACATGATTATAAAACCATATGAGTAAAAAGTATCATTCAATAATAAAATATATATATATATATATTAAACTATATACCATATAAGATTAAATACTTATTTTAATTTCAAAAATTTCAATGAATTTTCAAGAACATTTATAAATTATAAACGTATAAAAATTTTCACATTGAAATTTTTTGTTATCAATGATTTAAATATATTAGTTCTTTCTAAAAATTTTCTATTTTTTTAAAGATATTAACACAATCGATAATATGATTATTTTTGGTATATACCATACAAACCGAATGTATGTGATTTTATAAAAACCGTAAGATTTGGATATGGTTTGATTTATAATCGATTAAACTGAAACATGTAAATATGTATATCTATTTGTTACATAAGTTGAACTATAATTATGATTTGTAAATCACTTGAATC